GCCTGGGCTGGGTGTGCCCTTTCCACTGGCCGGGCTGCTCGGTGGTTTTAGAATCTCCAGAATCGTGTCGCTGAGTCGCGCCGGGTCGCGCCGGGTCGCGCGGTTTCGGCCTGGGAGGTTCCGGTGCTGATTCAGAAGCCCGTGCGGAGCCTCAGTGCGGGACATGGCAGACATGGCATGGTGGTGAGAAATGTCTTGAAGCTGATGAACTTCACCAAATTTTTAATAGGTAAACCGTTGCGATAAAACAATGGGCATTTTTATGGGCCATTTCCCATGGCGAAGTGTTTTCAATAACCCAGATGGTGGTTGATGAAAATTTCTTCAGCTCATGTCGTTTTCCTTTGAAGATCAGGAGAACATCGGTCCGATTTCCGGCAGTCGCGACCAGCTGGAGCCAGGCCAACTTGCAGCTGAAGGGTGGCACTGTGATGCCGTCGCGGAAACCCAGGAAACCCATGGAAACCCATAGGAAACCCATAGGAAACCCATAGGAAACGGATATATTGCGATTCAGAAACTTTCCCCGATTCAGAAACTCCGATTCAGAAACTCCAAGGATTCAAGAAACTCCTGGTTGTCACGATTCAGAAACTCCAGGTTGCCCCGATTCAGAAACTCCAGGTTGCCCCGATTCAGAAACTCCAGTTGCCCCGATTCAGAAACTCCAGGTTGCCCCGATTCAGAAACTCCAGGTTGCCCCGATTCAGAAACTCCAGGTTGCCCCGATTCAGAAACTCCAGGTTGCCCCGATTCAGAAACTCCAGGGTGCCCCGATTCAGAAACTCCGGGTTGCCCCGATTCAGAAACTCCAGGTTGCCCCGATTCAGAAACTCCGGGTTGCCCCGATTCAGAAACTCCAGCGTGTCCCGATTCAGAAACTCCGGGTTGCCCCGATTCAGAAACTCCGGATCGACCCGATTCAGAAACTCCACGGTGCCCCGATTCAGAAACTCCGGGTTGCCCCGATTCAGAAACTCCGGGTTGCCCCGATTCAGAAACTCCAGCGTGTCCCGATTCAGAAACTCCGGGTTGCCCCGATTCAGAAACTCCGGATCGACCCGATTCAGAAACTCCAGGTTGCCCCGATTCAGAAACTCCACTCTCTCCCGATTCAGAAACTCCGGGCCGACCCGATTCAGCAACTCCACTCTCTCCCGATGCAGAAACTCTATACGTCTCCCAATTCAGAAACTCCATAGAGTTCTTGTCACGATTGCAAATCATCTTTTTCTAAACTTCCCCCTCAAAGCCCTACATGCAATGGTATTCCTGAATGCACATCCTTCCCTTTCATAGGGTTCTTTTCACGATTGCAAGTCATTTTCTAAACTTCCCCCCCCAAAACCCTACATGCAATAGTAGTCCTGAATGCACATCCTTCCCTTTCATAGAGTTCTTGTCACGATTGCAAGTCCTTTCTTAAACTTCCCCCCCAAAGCCGTACATGCAATGGTATTCCTGAATGCACACCCTTCCCTTTCATAGAGTTCTTTTCACGATTGCTAATCATTTTCCAAACTTCCTCCCCCAAAGCCCTACATGCAATGGTATTCCTCAATGCAAATCCCTCCCTTTCATAGAGTTCTTGTCACGATTGCAATTCCTTTCTTAAACTTCCCCCCCAAAGCCCTACATGCAATGGTATTCCTCAATGCAAATCCCTCCCTTCCATAGAGTTCTTGTCACGATTGCAAGTCATTTTCTAAACTTCCCCCCCCTAAAGCCCTACATGCAATGGTATTCCTGGATGCACACCCTTCCCTTTCATAGAGTTCTTGTCACGATTGCAAATCATTTTCTAAACTTCCCCCCCAAAACCCTACATGCAATATCAGTCCTCAATGCAAATCCCTCCCTTTGATAGAGTTCGTGTCACGATTGCAAGTCCTTTCTTAAACTTCCCCCCCCAAAGCCCTACATGCAATGGTATTCCTGAATGCACATCCTTCCCGTTCATAGAGTTCTTTTCACGATTGCAAGTCATTTTCTAAACTTCCCCCCCCTAAAGCCCTACATGCAATAGTAGTCCTGAATGCAAATCCTTCCCTTTCAAAGAGTTCTTGTCACGATTGCAAGTCCTTTCTTAAACTTCCCCCCCAAAGCCCTACATGCAATGGTATTCCTGAATGCACATCCTTCCCTTTCATAGAGTTCTTTTCACGATTGCAAGTCATTTTCTAAACTTCCCCCCCCAAAACCCTACATGCAATAGTAGTCCTGACTGCAAATCCTTCCCTTTCAAAGAGTTCGTGTCACGATTGCAAGTCCTTTCTTAAACTTCCCCCCCCAAAGCCCTACATGCAATGGTATTCCTGAATGCACATCCTTCCCGTTCATAGAGTTTTTTTCACGATTGCAAGTCATTTTCTAAACTTCCCCCCCCAAAACCCTACATGCACTAGTAGTCCTGAATGCAAATCCTTCCCTTTCAAAGAGTTCTTGTCACGATTGCAATTCCTTTCTTAAACTTCCCCCCCAAAGCCCTACATGCAATGGTATTCCTGAATGCACACCCTTCCCTTTCATAGAGTTCTTTTCACGATTGCAAGTCATTTTCTAAACTTCCCCCCCAAAGCCGTACATGCAATGGTATTCCTCAATGCAAATCCCTCCCTTTGATGTATACTTAGTGATGCCATCCGAACGGTTGATCATCCAAGAATCCAATATATAATGATGCAGTTTGTCGGTGACAAAGTTTCCGAATCCGAGGGCCTGGAAGTTGCCGAATCCGACGTTGAAGTTTCCGAATCCGGGGGGAAAGGCAAGTTTCCGAATCCGAGCCCCTAGTATTTTCCGAATCCGACGTTGAAGTTTCCGAATCCGGGGGGATAGGCAAGTTTCCGAATCCGAGGGCCTGGAAGTTTCCGAATCCGACGCTGAAGTTTCCGAATCCGGGGGGATCGGCAAGTTTCCGAATCCGAGGGCCTGGGAGTTTCCGAATCCGAGGGCCTCGAAGTTTCCGAATCCGAGGGCCTAGGAGTTTCCGAATCCGAGGGCCTGGGAGTTTCCGAATCCGAGGGCCTGGAAGTTTCCGAATCCGACGCTGAAGTTTCCGAATCCGAGGGACGGCAAGTTTCCGAATCCGAGGGCCTGGGAGTTTCCGAATCCGCCGCTGAAGTTTCCGAATCCGATGTTGGCCAGAACCCATAGGAAACCCAGAGCACAGCTAAGCTGTGGCGGTTGACTACCACTTCTTGAAGGTCCGCAGTCTCATTGCATAGCTGAAACCTGACATGGGCTTTGAGTTGGGATGGTCAGGCATTCCATTTCGATGGGTGCAAAACCCTATATTATCATAGCTGAATTTCCTGATTTTGTCCATACTTCTTCCACTAGGTTGATGGCCTTAGCAGTTTCTGGCCAGCGCCTGGTGCCTCAGAGGGTTTCGTTCCGAAAGTCATTCTGATAAAAGAAAGTTAGATGCAAATGTTAGTGAGTTTGGTAACCCAAACTGACCCAAAAGGTAGGTGGTGCAATAGTTATCAATTTTTCAGGTCACCCAAGAACGCTAGTCATGTTTGGTAACAACATTTACAATCCAATATTTTGGCCGGACAAAAACACCAGTCAAAAGCAGCGTTTTTGGGGTTGAGACGTAGAGAATCCTCCCTGCAATTTGGATGGAGGTTGTATTGGTGACCTGCTTCAAACCGCCTTTTTGGGGAGGTGCAAATCGACTTAGGCAGGGCTATCAGCTAGATCTTGGCATCTTCTCTGTCTTCTCTCAGCATTCTTGTTTCGTTCGTCACGTAGGGTGTTCCCCATGAATCATTCTGAGTGGTTTCAAGGCAATCTGAACTTGACCCGAAGCCCGCACATGAAACTCTTGAAGGCAACTATGATTCATTCAAGACGGCCGAGGCTTTTTTTTTTTGATACCTCTTTGACCGATGGATGACTGACATTCTACAGTGTTCTACAGCATTTCATGCTCAAAACTGGGGGACATTCCCTGAAATTTGGCCCTAAATAGGCCATAAATGGGCGAGGAAAACCCCTTGTCCCCCGTACCGGTACCGGTGAGGTCGGCCATCCGTGGCAGACATTGCGGAAGCCCTGCGGCTGGGAGTGCCCTGCTTGGAAAGAGCTGATGGGATGATCCAGAATCATTGTGATCAAAGAATATCTAGAATAGTCCAGAATCAAAAGATATTCAAAGATTTACTTTGAATCAACCATATGTATATATACATATATATATATATACATATATATATATATATATACATATATATATATACATACATATATATATATATAGACTCTTTATTCTACATATATTCAGATGTTTCTGTTCCAAGATCTCCTTGAATAAACGGGGACCACATTTCCCACCGTCGCACGGCACACCACGCCACGGCCTGTCTTCGAGGTACGGCATCTCCAGGTGTCTCCAAGTGTGGCACATGCCGTGAGTTCAGATCCCAAGTGTCTGCACCATCGCTGCGCGTTTGAAAATGATACCCCAAATGGCATCCACTGTATAGATATAATAAGATGTGTCTAAGATTTTTATATACATACTATATATATATATATAGCTGGTTGGTGGTTTGGAACATGATTTTTATTTTTCCATATATTGGGAATGTCATCATCCCAACTGACGAAGTCCATCATTTTTCAGAGGGGTTGGTTGAAACCACCAACCAGATAGACATTTATAGGATTTTATAGGTAGATCTACCGAAATATTAACATTTCATCCCAAGCCGTGTTTTTGTTTGGTCAAATGTTCGGTCACCGTGAGGTCAAGCTATCCGACTCAGCCAGGCACCGTTGAAATCCCACCGTTGAAGGGTTGGATGTTCGGAGGAAAACATGGGGAAAACATGGACTAATATGTTTTTATTGGGCAAATTCAATTGCAATACAGTAACATAAGGTAAAGCCAGTTAGTAAACCACCCCCCGTTTGGTTTAGTCTTGGTATCTAATTACCTCTATTTGGGATGTAAACCAACCGAACCGACTCTGGTTGATCACTGAGTTTAACCAGGTGCCACGCGTGGAAGTCTTCATCTCTTTGATTTGGGAGCCGCCCCTGGACTCGGCAGTTCTGATGCCCAGCAGTCTTTTGGTGACGGGTGGATGTTTTGATGTGGCTATGAAACTAAGAAACTAACACTTTGAATATGACAATCATATTTTTTTAATAGGTAAATCAACTAGAAATGGGCCATTTTCCATAGCTATGATAGTTTACCAAAGGGTATAAGATGGTATAAGATCCAATGGTGATGGTTTGCTGGCCACAGTTGAGTGCCCGAGTGAGGCGAAACTCCAGAGTATTCGGGAGGAGCACATCCAGCAAGTGTTTTGGGCCGGAGTTTGCGATTTTGCACAGGTGATGAAATGTGATGAATCATCATGGGGAGAGATGAGAATTCTATAGAATTCTGATGTTTGTCCTTTGAGGATTTTGAGGGCAAGCTCCAACTTGGGATGTTTGTGGTCACCGGTTGCAGGTCATTTTGTGTCCACCCAATCTGACTTGGGTCATTTTGGTGGCCTTGGATCATCTGGAGATCCACGTGGCCAGGCTGGGAGTCATTGATCTGATGGTTTTACCTCGAAGTCCCCAGCCAGACCGTGTGTTGGAAGCCCAGATGGCAGCCAGGGCCAGGGCTCAAAATTGCCAGGGAAAACTATGGGAAATCAAGATGACACCAGTTTTCTTGTTGGAATTGGGCTACTGATACTGACTGATACCACAGTTTCAGACAGATTTTGCATGTTTTTTTGGTGTAGATTACTGTAGACTGTAGATTGGTATATCCCATTTTTTGGAATGTATCCAAAGGCTGTGAATCACAGTCTGTCCATGGACTGGACCGGCTGCAGGTGGCGTCACCTCGAGAGGCAGTTTCCAATGTGGGATGCGGCTGTCACAAAACAGTAACTCAGGGTAGAGACTAGCAGACTAGCAACTAAATCAGCAACCCTTCGGCTGTTTTCTTTTTCTCACAGGTGGCTGAGTTTTTTTTTTCAGCGCTAGGCTGAAGGCCAAAGGTTTGCTGAAAGCTCTCGGGGTGAAAGACTTCAAAGCTGAAGAGGTGGATGAAGTGCTGGAGCTGGTCATGAAGATGTGGGAAACCCATGGTTTTACCCATGGTTTTCCTAGGAAAATCAGCTACAAATGGATAGAAATGGTGGGTTTTCCACATCACACTTTGAGTTTGCAGCAGGCTAATCTTGGGCTTTTTGAAACGACTGGCGGGAGCTTTTAGGGTTGGAAATCCACAAAGGTTTGCCTACATCCAACTCTGAGTTGCTGTTTGTGTCTTGTCATGAGTTGTTGCCAAAAGGATCCAATGTGTTCCTTTCCAATTTTGATTAATGCCAGACAAAACCCTTTATTCCAAAATGCCCTTAGATTCTTATCCATCATGAATTCAGTTTGCAGATGAGTGGGATTTCACGCAGGCCATTTTTTCCTGGTAAAAAACAGGTTGAGTTTTTGCCTCACGGTGGTGCAGCAGTGGAATATGCCCTGTGTGCCGGGCCATTCCCAGAGTATCGCTGGGATGTGGAGTGGGGATTGAAATTTCGAGGATTCCAATTTTTTCTAACCAAGGAGTATGGGATTTGCACTTAGTTTTGGCTCAAATAATGGTTGCACCCCTGGAGGGTTTAGCCCCGGAAAAAGCCAAAAAGACAATACACATGATTGGGACCACATGTTAATATGAAGGGTTGAGTACCAAGCATACGTAAAAATGCTCAAATGTGTGATTAGCCTGATACCAATCTTGGTTGCTCCACCCATCGCGCCCTGGCACACCAAGTGCCGTCAAGGCCTTCACTCCTTATCGTCATGGTCCAAGTCGCAGTACCTGGAGGACAACGGAAGTTGGCACCATTTGACACCTCTGGGTCCATTTGGGGTGCCCTATTTTCAGACAGACTCAGTGTGATCTTCTTATCCCTCGGAGATATTCACGAAATTGTCACAAATTATCGAGATATGCAATGCCAATTGATGCCATATATGCCATGATGTATTTTTGGGTTGTTCTAACGATTTTTGGGAGCCTGGGAGCCTTAAACCTGTGTTGGGCTCCGGGTACCCTTTCCGAACAACGGCGGGACGCTCGAGCGCCGCGCGCCGCGTCTGCGAGGCGTTTCGGTGAGCGATCAATTGCCTTGGCGGCCACGGGGCCCTGGGCACCCAGCACAAATGGGGGATTTACAGCAGAGATACCCTCTGGTAAACGTTTACATAGCTATGGAAAATCACCATTTATAGCTGCGTAAATCCACATAAATCCACTATAAATCTCAATTTTCAATAGCTATATGTTAGTTTACCAGAGGCTATGGCATAGATATCGCGATTTTGATTTTTAGAACTGAGTTAGGAGTACCATGGCTACCCCATTTTTTTGGACAAGCCTGGTGGGAAAACCTTCGAATCTCGGGATTTGGCCCATGGCCAAATCTGACGTCAAACGCGATTCGGTGATGTCGTACTGATAATGATATGTAATGTGTTGTTATGTGTGTATAATATATATAATGTGATAGACATTCAATCATAGCTCTGTTGGCGTTTTTGAGGGTAGCTTAGCGGTGTTACTTTCAGTCACTTCGCGTCGGACGCCTAGGTTGTTGAGCGACTGGCCTCGGCCCCTCCGACCCAGGGAGGATCCGCATGTCCATGTGCCAAGCGGTTAAAGCGATGGACGTTTTTCAAAGAAAAAACAATCTCTGGATTTGCTGAGGCCGATTTTTGGCCGTATACCATCTGGTAATTTAACATAGCCATGGAAAGATCCACCAGTTTTAATAGGTAAACCATCTATTGCTATGGGCCATGGCTTCTATGGCTACGTTAGTCATAACCAGAGGGTAATCCTCAGTCAATTTGCCTCAGGTCCTGGCCGTTGCCAGACGTGTTGGAAAGACCGGCGCGCAGGTGTGTGGTTTTGATTCACGGCGGACGGGCAGATTTTGCCGGAAACTATGTGGAGCCCATGGCAACTCTATGATATTTGGGCGTTTCCGAAAATGGGGGCCCCAAAATCATCCAAAAAGAAAACAGCATGTATTCCTGTAGATTGCTGAAGCCTATGGTTTTGGGGATCTGGTTCCAGAAAATACCCAGAGGGGTTCTGCATCCGGTCAGGAAATGGCTGGAAGCCAGTCGTCTCGTGTGGACTTTCCAGCATTTCTTCTACATTGTCCTAGGGAAACTCATGGCTTTTCCACATCTATGTTAGGTTAGCCTTGGGTAATTCATGCAATTCTGTGGTTTCATATAGTAAGCCAAGATAGCCAGGGTTCAAAGCGACTCTGTTGTGACCCACCGAAAAAACCGAGGGTCGGGCTTTCAACTGGTAGGTGTTGCTTCGCTGGGCACTCCAACTGGGCTTGGCGGTAACCTTCCATACAGAGAGGTGTCGGCGCGGGGAGAAATACCCCTCGAGTCTGAGGGTTGAGAGGGTTGAGGTATTTTTTGTGAGCCTAGTTCAGCCAGTTATATAATCAACTGGTTGGTGGTTTGGAACATTTTTTATTTTCCCATATATTGGGAATAGTAACCCCAACTGACTAATATTTTTCAGAGGGGTTGAAACCACCAACCAGTAATTAATGTTAATTCTACATGGAATGTGACCTGAAGTAGGGGACTTGTGATTGATCACCAAGCTAAAATCTTCAGAACTTACCGATTTGTGATGTCCAAGCAGGACGAGCCACAGGAAAAAACCAAAGCCCATTTCTTTGGCCAGGTCTATCTGTCCATGTGAGGTGAAAGTTGTTGTTTAAGAGTTTAAGACCTAAAGGTTTAAAGCTCCATCTTCCACACAAAAGAAACAAATAGATTGGAAATCAATCCCTGATTTTGAGAACCAATAGTTGGCCTTTTCCCTTGACCTTCCCAACATGTTGGAAGGGTTTTATGATGTCTTATGAGAAACTTTAGAGGAACATGTTGTGAGTATTGAGGACTAAAGACCATGGTTTCCTTGCATATTTCCCTCGACAAACCAGTCCAGTGACGGCATCTCTCTCTCTCTCTCATTATATGTGCTTCATGTACTATAGATACATATTCGGATAGATTCACTTATACTTATAATATTAATATGACTATTATTATTAATTACACAGAGCTCACAGGGCCTTGTTGAGCAGTTTCAACCACCCTGGAATCGATTGATTTTACATATTGAGGATGATCATAATCCATCAACTGGGAACCAACCATGAAAACTTGGCGAGTTTCTCCATTCCTTTCCATATCACAGGGGATGATACATGATGATACTACACAAAAAACATCAAACATCCACCGCAAATTGGTGATCTAGAATGATTAGATTGCTAAACACCCGTGCCACACTTCCATGAACCATGGAGGATTTAGATGGATTTTAGGGGATTCTATGACCGACAGCCCATCCGAAAACTCATTTTCAACACGGCGGATGTGTCCCACGTGTGGGTGCCATGATGGCGCCTCCGGGGGTTCCCACAGATTTCCCAAGGCCGCGGCACGTGGCCGAGAACCTGGGTGCCTTGGATGGCGCCGACCTCTCCACCACGGAGCTGCAACTGCTCAGTGCTCTGGCCACGCTGGCGGAGCCCTTGCCTCCCGGGGATGGCTTCGTGACTCGGAGGCAATCAGTGGGGATGTAGCCGGCCTGGGAAACGTTTACATAACTATGGAAAATCACTATTTTTCATGGGAAAATCCACTATAAATGGTGATTTTCCATAGTTATGTAAACGTTTACCAGAGGGTGTCATGATGATTTCATGAGGATTTCGGCATGGTGTATGGGTATAAACGTTTTGTCGTACGCAGATATGGTCTATCTTTGGTTTTTTTCGATGATTAAACCTCCCACGATTCGTGGGTACACATGTGGTATATCTCCAAGGACTTACTCGTACCAGAAAACGGTACTGTATACACAATCTCAACATTGCCTCTGTATGCTGGACCCATCGCAACTGGGCTGCCCTGGGCTGATGGGTTTTAATATGAAGCTGGGATGAAGAATCGTAGCTCAAAAATGATACAAAAACCAGGGCAGTGACTTGGATTTTGACCCACATCTGGTTGGTGGCGACTGGAACCATGGAATTTTATGACTTTCCAGAAACAGTTGGGAATATCATCATCCCAACTGACGATTCGTCATATTTTTCAGAGGGGTTGGTTGAAACCACCAACCAGACATCCTGTTGATTGCAACGTTTCAACATGGACCGCACTGAGGCTCACCCATACGAGAAGATGCCCATTGCACCAAGACTTGGAGAGCTTTAGCCGTGAGGAAAAGCGCTGGGCCTGTTTTTTGGGATGGCCTTAAACAAGTGGCGAACAAACGATGGTTTATGGTAGATATAACAAACTAGTTAATGATGTTCATGGGGGTTATAGTCTATATAGTGGTTTATAAACCAACTTATAACTTATATAACAGTGGGGCCCCATCCTGTGGACATACATGGGAATTGTTTGGTATTCGCAGAACTGATCGGCACCTCATGGATTGAAAACAAACCCTTTGTTTTCCTTCATCAGTTGTCTATCTTCTTCAGTTCCGGCATTGAATGGCTGGAATTGTAGCTTCAATGTTTTTGTTCAGTGCCTTGCCAGTTGGACTTCGACTCTTGGCTTCTTGACTTAATGATCAAGATGCATTGGTGGCACGTCACTTCTAACAGCAGTGGCACCTGGACTTCCTGACACGGGCACCGAATGGCCACGCTTTGTTACTCCCGCAGCTTTTGAAACTTGCTTGCAGGCTGCACATACCAAGACTTGCAATGCCAGTCCATGTCCACAGCTGTAAGCTAGGCATGCTGCCACCTCAAATTCAGCATCTTGTTGGTGCTCCCCAGATCATTCAGCCACAGCATCTCTAAATGCCTGTCTTTGAACCATGTTGGACACTTGCTGTGAACATCAAGTCAAATCTCAGCGGGATTTTTCCGTAGAGGTGTCCCCAATAGGGCAAGTTCTGACGTCACGAATGAGGTAAAGAGATACACTCTGGTAAACGTTTACATAACTATGGAACATCACCATTTTATAGCTGGGTAAATCCACTATTTCGACTGGGCCATTTTCAACAGCAAACTGTTAGTTTACCAGGCCGGGTAAAGCCAATAATTCACCAGGCCCATGACTTACCAGAAATGGCCGCATCCCCACCTTTCCAGTTGAAACCGCCGCTCCAGAGGCTCGTGATGCGAGCGGGGAACAGGGCGGTTTTTCAGAACGATCATACTCCTGGTACCAGTGGTACCATACCCATGACGGATCCATGGTGCTGGTATATTAATGCTAACATAAAGGGGGTATATTGATGGGATCCATGTTACCATATATAGCAGCACCATGGATCCGTCATGGGAGTGGTACCATAGCTATTTTATTTTGCTGCTAGATTTGGACAGCCGTCGACTGTCCATGTGCAGACGGGTCATGGAGTCTGAGGATTCGCCAATGTCATGATGTCATGAGTATGTCAAATCCTGTTCCTGTCTCAGGGATTGAATGGCATAACCCATAGGATCCATGTATGCTATATATGGTAACATTTACCATCAATATACCCCCAATGTTAGCATATATACCATACATGGATCCTATGGGTAAGAGCATGTAAGAGCTCACAACATTGCGAAACTAGGAAGCGGCAGATTCACACGCTGCATTCCAGGTGGTCTCAAGAATGTGTCACACCAAAATGACAGATTCGTGCCAAAGATGTTGAAATTTGTCATATGGGGCTGGATGTTAAAGCCCATGATATTTGAGGAACATCCATCTCCTGTCCATCTCCATGTTTTGTTATCAACACCATAGGTATCAAGGTGTTGATCCCTAGCCACCCTAGCCATCTGAAAAACCGGAAACTGGAGGGCGTGACCTTCCAATTCAGAGTGCAGACTTTCATGGTTGAAGCTGTGATGTTGAGCTGTTTTCTTTGCTTTGTGATCTTTGTGTGGCCTGCAGTGTCAACTTTCATGACGAAACTGGAAGCATTCTTGAACAGTCCCGGATTGGTTATTGTGTTCACTCCCAAGCCAGCCCAACATGGGTTGTTGTCATCCAAAAGAGGCCCAGTGATTGAATCCTCACAAGCAACTTGGGATTCATTTTGCCACCACTTCCAAACCACATTCTGGACGCCCAAAAAACTTGAAATAGTCGCAGCTGCTTTTCGACTAGTTTCCCAAGCGCGGCCGAACTATAAAGCCATTTGGAACATAAAAAATCCAAACATGAGAGACCAATTATGACCAATATTTGGAACATGTTCAAATCTACAAATATTTGGAACCCGATTTCTTGATCTGTTTTTCTATATCATCCATTTTATCGGATTTTCCACTATAAACCATCCATTTTGGGTATCTGGAACCCCCCATATTCCAGGCCACATGGCTCATGAGAAGGCACGAGCAGGCCAGGGTGGTTCCGGAGATGACCTGCTGATGCCACGGTGATACCGGGCATGGGATTTCAAAGCTTTTGACCCGAGCGACACCGTAGTTCTTCATGGGGGTTTCCCATCAATGGGGTACCCCAAATAGCTAGATTAGCTAGATGGTTTAACTGGAACATCCGACAATCACATAGGATGATAGCTACAATATGGGGCCCCCAAACGTGATGTGAACGTTGGTTTAGATTCGCCCCAGTAACTACAGTTATAAGATGTTATTTGCGTACCATAAACCATAGTGACATTGGAGTTATTGGCACCAACTGAACGCTATCGTGGCCGGGGGCCTCACATTGTAGGGGTAGCCCTATGACATCCAGGACCCCCCAGATGTTTTCCATGCGCCTCCATGCCCTCCACGGCAGGTGACTGGACCTGCCCTACTTGCAATGACCTCCAGTTCGCCCGCAACGCGGCATGCCGCCGGTGCTTCCCCAAGGGTGGTCATTGGACAGGTCGTTGGGAGGAAAAAGTTGGATTTCATGGGACTTCACTGGGATTTCATGGAATTTCATTGGGAATTTCATTGGGAATTTCATTGGGAATTTCATTGGACATTTTGGGATATAATTGGGATTAAAATGGGATTTCATGGAATTTAATTGGGAATTTGATGGGATTTTGTGAGGAAAAAGAAGTGCCATGGCATATTTTGCGAGGACAAATATGGGAAATTGGTGATATAAGCACCAATCATTGATGGGGATATTTTCGTGTTGTGGTTTTTAATGAGATTTTTCATTGGGATATGATCGGATTTCATGGGATGCACATGATAAGGTGGGCCATTTCAGAGATGATAAACCATTGATAAACCATGGATTTCAAGTCATTCCATTGATAAACAATGGATTTCAAGCCATTCTATGAGATAAACCATTGATAAACCATGGATAAATTCCGCGTTTTTTTTCCTCCACACGATGACGATGACATCACCCCGCTCTGCTTTTTTTTTGGGACCCCTTGAGGTGCGGAGGTGCCAGACCCTCCATGGAAACGATGGGGTCGCTGGCCTCAGACGTTGGCCGTTCTGCGCCATGGCTGGCGCTGCTTAGCGCCACGGTGCTTAGCAATGCGTGTTGGCCATGATTCATGCCATGAAAAATTGAGAGTTAGTGAAAAACACGACTCCATCTTTCGAGTCGTCACTGTCGATCAAGGCAGGCGGCACTGAAATTCTACCCATGTGGAGGCTGGGTTTTTTTCGGGTGTTGAGATCGATTTTCAGCACTTCGAATTTCTGGGATGGCCACAATGCTGAACAGATCTGAACCAGGTTCGTCCAGGCTCTCCTGTTCTATCCTTTGGATGTTTACCGCAACCCTGCAGCCACTGGATCAATGAGATGCCGATCTGGATTCCAGGATCGCAAAAGGGGTGACATCAGATGACCCTGTGCTTGACTCAGCCTGGTATACCCGGCCTGGTAAACCTACGTTTACATAACGAACTGGAAAGATCCACCATGTTATAGCTGGGAAAATCCACTATTTCGACTGGGTCATGGCTTCAATAGCAATGTAACAGTCATTACCAGAGGGTAAATTGGAGAACCACAGAGGACAACTTCGCCATGCCCTTGCGATGTTTGGTGGTGGACTGTGGTGGCGTGACGCATCCCGACTCGGGCCTAAAAGAGGCAGCAGGGGTTGGGGTTGGACTCCAAGATAAGGTCCTGAAGCATTCCAAAGGTTGGAAACCAGTCTTACCCTCTGGTTATGACTAACATTTTGCATAGCCATGGACAGATCCACCATGCTATTAAGTTCGGTAAACCATCTATTTCGGCCAAAGCTTCCATGGCTATGTAACAAATAACCAGAGGGTAAATATCATGTTTCCCCATGGAACGGTGAAGCCGCTCGGGATGAGCTTCCAGAGGGGGTCAGGCATCTTGTGGACACCTTGTGGTGGGTCTCCCTATGTTTTCACACCCAGATGTGCTGGAGTTCTGTGATGAAAGTCCCTTTGTTTGGTTCCCATCGTCATCTTGGTCTGGTAAATCCATGGCATTCATTTTCTTCACATGTTTTCTTGATATAAACATGTGTATATAAACATCTAGAAACGAGTTTGGCCCCAAGTTCCTCAGCAATCTTGCTGGTATCAGACATACATATATATATAATATATAATATATATATTATACAGTATATATATACAGAATATATATATATATATATATTAATATACATATATACATATATATATATATACATATTAGACTAGATATAGAAACCTCAGCACCCAATCCTCACCCCCGCAGTTGGGAGGCCGTGCGGAAGCGCGTGGCCTCCGCTGATGCCGCGCAGGCGCAGAGCGCGGCGGCCGCAGCGAAGGCGCAGTGGAGCGCCATGCGCGATGACCCCAGGGCCACCAAGGTGGAGCTGAAGGGATCGGGGTTTTCCATAGGGATATTAGCAACCATAGTTGGGATATTAATGGTTATTAATGATGGTTAATGATGATTAATGATGGTTGATGATGATTAATGATGGTTGATGATGATTAATGATGGTTGATGATGGTTAATGATGGTTGATGATGGTTATTAACGGTTAAGGTTGGTTAATGATGATTAATAGTGCTCATTAATGGTTAATGATGATTATTCTGGGTAAATTATAATGACCTCACGTCGCGACCGAAGCCTGGAATCATGGTTTTTATATGGGAAATCATCCCCTTTTATGGCCGCAAGATTCAGGTGAAATATTATCATTTACCCAGAAACATGAATCCCAACATTTGCCCCATAAATAAATGACCCAGGATAATGTAGGTAAATATACCCATGGTGCTGGTTAGTATATATGCTAACATGAATGGGGTTTTTGTTGATGGGATCCATGGCACACCATAGACAGCAGCACCATGCCTGGATCCGTCATGGGTGGGTGATCCCCTGGCTCGCGGGATGGTTTTTTTGATGGAAAAACTGATTGATTGATTAAACTTTGGATGAGAACTGGGGGTATCCCTATTTTAGGAAACCTACATTTGAGGAACCGATTTTTTTTTGAATTTGAGACGAATTTAGCCATAGTTCAATCCATTTATAGCCCATGGTTAATCTTGATTTTAAGGTTAAACATGAAACATCTATGGGAATATCATGGAATATATGGATTTAATGGGATATTTGATGGAAAATATGATGATGACCCAGAGGTTGAACATAGGTATGAAAAAAATCCCATTGAAATAGATGATTTATGATGATTTACCTATCAAACATGGTGATTTTCTATATCTAGCGGCGTTGAGGGACTGGGATTGCGATCCTCCCAACCAGCATAGACCCTCTGAATCGCCCACTTCAGGGTCAGTTGATCAGTTGGAGGGATGGTCATATCCCAACATTTTCCAAAATTTGCTCATATTATCCCGTCAATGAATATGTATATATTTCATTAGACCCCCAGAATTACAAGTAACAGTACGGCTGTTTTCACATTATGTTGATATATGTTGATTATATCCCATTATAACCGCGTTATATTCCTATCATATGCTCATGTTTTGCTGGTTCCCGCATTTCTCAAAAGGCCATGCTAGTTAAACATTCCCTTCAACCAACCCATTGATCATCATATTTGGTGACAAAAAATCTTGACAAACCCACAGTACTGCCAGTTATATCTCCAAGTGTTCATGGTCAAATTTCATTTTTTTTAGGGGTTACATTCCAATTTTTGCCAGTGAAAAATTCGTGATTTTCTATTTTTCATGGCGACATATGTCACAAACTTCCTGGTGACCCTGTTGACCTTTGTCCATAGTTTTTTTTCGGGAATCATCTCCATGGTGGGCCAAGCCCATGATATTTTTATCCCATGAAGGATCCCAATATCCATAGATCATGAAATATAAAAACTGGACATTTTTTCAGAGGGGTTTTTCAACCACCAACCAGAAAACAGTATCCCATCGACAAGAATAAATCCATTTAGTAAAGTCCATATGATTTATACACACTGTATCAGATGGTTAATGTGAACCCCATTCTTTATTTTCCGAAACATCAACATTTTGTATATCCATAGATATCCATAGATATCCATAGATATCCAATATATATATATATATACACTGGTTGGTGGTTTGGAACAGTTTTTATTTTCCATATATTGGGAATAATAATCCCAACTGACTCATATTTTTCAGAGGGGTAGGTATACCACCAACCAGTATATATATATATATAGAGATTCCATTTCCCCTCTCTCGGACTTTGAAATCCCAGGAGGACTTCTGGCAGCAGATCTCGGTCGCCTGCGGCCTGGAGTCCTCTGCGGCGGCGGAGGCGGACGCGGAGATTTGCGCCACGCTACGAGGCGAGGAACTCGGAACTCGTCGAACGCGACGCGTTTTAGGCGTTTTTCAAGCCATGGTGACTGGGGTCCCACCATTGTAGGAAACCCCGATGTGTCATATATTATATATATACATATGTATATATATATATTATGATATATGTATATGTATGATAGATGGATAAACAATTATACAAGGTGGCCCCAAAGAGTTGTAACCTCCCCCGAATTTTTGGCCTTTGAAATGAACAGATCCAATAGTGAACTTGAGGTTTTCGGGAGGATGTGAGGATGTGTTGTTGGCGGAAGGGATTCTTGTATATATATATATGTGGGTGAAGGATGAAGACCCAAAGATATTTCTGCTGATTTTGGGATATTTTCTTT